TTGTCGAAACAAAATAAACAGATAAAAACTATCCATTTACATTTGAAGTAAATATTGATATTATTATAAACACATAAAATTGCTCATTATTATGAAATAAACATGTTTGTTTAAATTATTATTAAAATTGATATTAATAAAATTTGCTTATTAATATAAAGTACCTAAACATGTATATTTAAGTTATTATTAGAAATGAACTTTGATATATGTACTTTGATATATTTAATATTCTTATATGAAAAAATATATAAACTAAATTAAAAAGAAAATAGACTTCAGTTGCTATTGAAATCACATCAAACAAACAAATAAACAATCAGCCAACCAACTCAACATGTCTGCACCTAAAGAAATAAACAATTTAAGTGAAACAATTGTGAGAAAACTTCAAGAAATTGGTAAGTTAATTAAAAATATAAATGAATAGTATAAGTGGATAAAATACTTAAACAAAACTATTTTAATTTTAAAAAAATATTTAAAAAATAGTAACAAAAGAGAAAAAAATATTTCTTCCAAATTAGAATCTAATTTGAGTTTACTTAAGAATCTCAGAGAACAATTTAAATATAAAAAAAATTAAACAGAAAAAAGAATTATGTTGGATTGAACTTGATTCTTGCTTCAAAAATCGCATTAGAACAGGAGCAACAATTAATTTTAGTATTAAAGACCCAGTCATATTTTCTAAAAAAGCTTATAGATCTTTTTTGTGTAAAGTTAAAAAAGAAGTTCAGAAATCATTATTAAAAATAAATGTCATCTTTTTATTAAATTTTATTAAACCTCAAACTGGGGAAACTGAAATTAAACATTTTTCTACAAAAAATCGAGTAGTAGATCACAATACAAATTTAAAAGATTTTTATGATGATCATATTAAAAATAATTTATTGAAAAAACTGGAAGAGTTTCAAGAACGAGATTCTGGATGGGCTCTTTATCAAATATTACAATTAAAAATTAATTTTAATAACTATACACCAATAAATGTAAGCAATTCAACATATGTATCGATACCAAAATTTATTCAAAATACTAAAGGGGTTCTTAATATTGAAAATAAAGATAATTATTGTTTTCTCTGGTCTATAGTAGCAGCACTGTATCCTTGTAGCTCTAATCAAAATCCAAGAACATCTTCTTATCCTCATTTTAATGAGGTTTTAAAATATGATAATATTAATTTTCCAATAAAACTAAAGGATATAAAAAAATTTGAAGCAATGAATAATATTTCTATTAACGTTTTTACTGTAGAAAGGAAAACAGTTTTACCAGTATGTTTAAGTACGTTTAATTATTTGATGAAAGTTAATTTATTAATGCTCTCTACAAATAAAATATTTAATAATAATGATAGTGATAGTGATCGTGATGAAAATCATTTTAGTAATAATATTATCTCCTTTAAACAAGTTTTTCATTCTGCATTAATTAAAAATCTATCAAGATTATTAAATCAACAAACTGGTGATGTAACTACTTCAAAATTTTATTGTGATCGTTGTCTAAATCATTTTTATTCTCGAGAGGTATAGTACTAAACATATGTGGTCATGTAAAAATATTAATAAAACTAAAATTACTCTACCAACCTTAAAAGAAAAATATATTAAATTTGATCAGTTTAAAAATAAAGAAAAAGTTCTTTTTGTAATTTATGCAGATATTGAAAGTTTATTAGAAAATATTAATGACTCAACTGTGGGTAATATACAGAAATATCAAAAACATATACCATGTAGCATTGCGCATTATCTGTTGTGTAATTTTGATAATTCCATTTTCAAATTTAATATTTATACTGGAAAAAATTGTATTAGTTGGTTCTGTCAGGAATTAAAAAAATAGCTTTACAACTACATCCAATTTTTAATAAAATAGTTCCGTTAACAATTTCCGAACAAGCATTATTTCATAACTCAACAACTTGTCACATTTGTTCTAAACCATTTACTGAAAATGATTTAAAAGTTAAAGATCATTGCCACTTTACCGGTAAATACAGAGGAAGTGCTCATTCTTTATGTAACCTTAACTATGTAGACGATCATATGATACCTGTTTTATTTCACAATCTATTAGGTTATGATAGTCATTTTATCATAAAGAAATTGTCCACTGAAATTGGTGGTTTAATATAACACTTTTACCAATCAATAAGGAAAAGTATATATCATTTACAAAATACATAGAAAATACAAACATTCAATTTAGGTTTTTAGATTCGTTTAGATTCATGCCAAGTAGTTTAGATAAATTAAGTTCTTACCTAGATTCTACAGAAAAAAACTATAACAAGAAGTTTCTGTAAAACTAATGAGGAATTTAATTTATTATCTAGAAAAGGTATATTTCCATATGATTACCTAAACAGTTGGGAAATATTGGAAAAACCTTCAATTACCTTCAAGAGTTAATTTCTATAATAAATTAAAAAAATGTGGGGTAACACAAGAAGATTATAATCATGCTGTCAATGTTTGGAATACGTTTAAAATTAACAATTTGCGTGAATAGATGGAATTGTATCTAAAAACTGATGTTTTATTATTGGCTGACGTTTTTGAAAATTTCAGACAAATATGTTATAAAACATATAATTTAGATTGTTTAAAGTATTTCACAGCTCCAGGATTGGCTTATTCAGCTTGTCTTTATATTTCACAAATTGAATTAGAATTAACAACAGATATAGATCAAATAATGATGATTGAAAAGGGGATAAGGGGTGGAATTTCACAATGTAGTAATCGATATGGGAAAGCTAATAATAAGTACACGGAGAATGAATATGATCCTACAAACTCAACATCATATTTAATGTATTTTGATATTAATAATTTATATGGAACTGCAATGTGCGAATCATTACCTATAGGTGAATTTAGATGGATTGAAAATTCTGCATATTACTCGGAAAATATTATTAATACACCAGATAATTCAAATATAGGATATATTCTTGAAATAGATTTAGAATATCCAAAAGAAATTCATAATTTATATAAAGATTTACCATTATGTCCGGAACATCTAAGACCACTCATATCATCCTCAAAACAACAAAAATTATTAACAACTCTATTTGATAAAAAAATGATGTTATTCACTATAGAAACTTAAAACAGGCTTTAAGTTTAGGATTACGAGTTATAAAAATTCATAAAATTTTAAAATTTATTCATTTAAATACCAACTTACGTCAAGAAAGTAAAAACGATTTTGAAAAGAACTTCCTTAAGCTAATGAATAATGCTGTTTTCGGAAAAACCATGGAAAACGTACGAAAATATAAAGACATTAAATTAGTAACTACTTGGTTAGGAAGATATGGAGCAATAATTTATATATCTAAACCAAATTTTCACAGTTTGACTATTTTTGATGAAAATATGGTTATTATTGAAATGAAACGACTTAACCCAGATATGCCCAAACAAATTTTGTGTTTAAATTTAACTTAAATTCTTGTTAGTTGGATACCTCATGGCACAAAACAACCAACAAAAATTGGGAAAAAAATCCTATGGTAGTGGGTCCATAAATAATGGGTGTCCTTTTAAAAGGACAGTGGGCAAATAAACGTGGGCAATTAAAACATTTTTTTTTATTTAGAATTTATTTTATTAAAAAAAACTAAAATAAAAGCACAAAGTAAAAACGACAAAGAGTTCTTAATTATGGACGAGTATGATAAGTAATGAAACAGCGCACATGAAGTGTTACGTCACATTTTTGGCATTCTGTTGACACTTTTTTGTGACACACCCTGCATCTCGTTTGTTTATCTTGCTCTTCAATTAGGTGATCCAATCTGTCATACCTCGTTTCCACGTTTTCCAATGGTGATATTTTAAGCCTTCTACATAAATTAAGCCCCCTGTCTTCTTTATTACTTTGAATAAGAGACGTGGCAACATTTCTTCGGAATGCCAAATGATCGAGTTTGCCTCCCTGTTTGCGATGAAGTTGCTATGCGTTTTGCTCAGCTGCATCGAGTAAGTGTGTTATCAGGGGAAAATACCATTTTTTGCCTCTAATACTGACACGATATAGGCTGATATTTTGATCGCTCCGATCCACACACCCCATACTGATGTTATATTTTTTTATATTTTGTGGTTGTTGCACAGGCATTCTTTTTTTTTCTTTTTGAGAATAGCGAGTGACCTGATGTAATGGAAATACGCCATAATAATTTGAAGCCATATGCACCATATTGTTATCGGACCACTTAACAAGAACTGTAGAATTATCTTTGGATGTTTTAAAATCAAAATCTCATCGATTTTTCTTGAGGTCTGCATCAGACGCCAACTGACAATTTCCTAGCCGATTTTTTCTTATAGTCCCCGTAACCCTCACGCCTTTCTCTGTTAGGGATTGTATTAGGGGCAAAGTGGTGAAAAAGTTATCGAAATAAATACTGTACGGAAGTTCTAATTTCGAACGTAAAACATCAGTGTACTCCAATACAACAGAAGGCCCCAACCCTAAGTTTTTGTAGCAATCCTTGATCTCAGATTTTGCGCCCTGATATGGTTCATACCAAATTATATATCCAATAGCTGAAGCACCAACCCATAGTTTATACCCATACCTCAATGGCTTGCCTCGTATAAACTGTTTACAGCCGTGACGACCGAAGTAAGCTACCATAGCTTCGTCGACGCAATGAAACTCATCAATTGGGGCAAAATCAAGAAATCGACTATTTATTTTATCAAAAAAGGGTCGAACCTTAGCAAATCTATCGTTCTTATACAAATTATTGTTGTCGCAACAATGTATGTTTGACAAAATATGTTCAAAACGGTTTCGAGACATGGAATTAGACACTATATTATTATAACAATCAGACGAATTTTCCCAAAACATTCTGCGTCTTGGAACCGAAACGTAACCACTCAAGAGAAGTATTCCAAAAAAAACTTTGATTTCTTCTGGGGCAATATCGGACCTTTTGTTTTTACTAGCTGCGTAGTTATTAGTTAAAAAACAAACATGTCTATTATCTCCTTGTCAAAAAAGTTTTCAAATAACTGTATAGGTGAAAGATTGTTCGATGGCAAAACAAAATTGGGCCATTCAGTTTCAAGACGTGCATTTTTTATGTCGAATTTTTCCCACTTGTACGTTTTTTTCTTGAACTCGTCATAGTGCCTTTTAGACAACAATCCTTTACGCAACTCTGACAGTGGGATTTTGTCTTCATCTTCCCATTCGTCGTCGGAATTATGCGCGAACAATTCGGCTTCTGCTCGAAGCTGAGCAGTTGGTAAATTGTTGACGTCGACAACGTCCTCATCGCCCGAATCTTCATCGGTTAAAACTTCGCAGGAGTTAGTTGGTGGCATAATTACAATATCCACTGGATTGATACCGAGGTCGTCTTCGTCCTCTTCCAAGACCGAAAGAAGATCAGCAAGCGTGTCTCGCCTAAAAAAATGCAGTATATTGGCCCACTGTCCTTCTAGAAGGACACCCGTATTTCCACCCACGTGGACGCAAACAAAATGCAGATATGAACATAACCTTATTTTAATAATGTAATGACACTATTTATTAACTAATTTTAAAACCCTACTGGATGATTATGCCTTCCAATTTTAAATAAACTTACCCGCTTATTCTGAAGTCGTAGTGAACATCCATAGCGCTTACTAAAACTCAAATATTCACAAAAAAACGTTCAAAAAACGTATTGGTTCATACTAAACATACAGTTTATAGCTTAAACACGAAAAATAACATAATTCCATCTAACGGGAACCGTCTGATTTATGATAAGCGTTGTTAAAATAGAGACCTGTAAAATGTCCTTCTAGAAGGACAGTGGGAATATCTGGGTTAATATAAAATTTAAAAAACCCATACATATTGGTTTTAGCATTTTAGACATTTCTAAAACTATTTTATATTATTTTCATTACAATTATATTAAACCAACTTTTAATACAAATGCAAAACTCTTGTATACAGATACCGATTCATTAATTTATCATTTTCAAGTTGAAGATATATATAAACACATTAAAAATGATATTGATAGATTTGATACGTCTGATTATCCATCAGAAAACATTTATAATATTCCACTGGTAAATAAAAAGGTATTAGGAAAAATGAAAAACGAATGCTCTGGAAGAATCTTAAGTGAATTTGTTGGATTGAAATCAAAAATGTATGCTTTAAAACTCTTCTATTCGCATGCCGAAAAGGAAAAATTAACAACTGAACAAAAAAATAAGTTACAAGATTTAGGTGTCACTAAAAAAGCTAAAGGTATAACTAATACTTCTCTAAAAACAATCACTTTTGATGATTATTATAACTGTTTATTTAATAAAACTGAAATTTACACTAATGAACAACTAATTCGTAGTAAAAAACATGAAGTATATACAATAAACCAAAAAAAATTGTCCTTACACCACATGATGATAAAAGAATTGTTAATTATATATTTACAGATACATTACCATGGGGATATAACCAATGATTTTATCCACTTATTATTATCATTATTATTTTTAATTACCTTTCAATTTTGAAGTAACTCAGACAATGGAACAAGAACAAGTTCCAATCTTAAAATATAACAAAATTGTTTCACATGCCTTTGAACCAACCAAAGGTAGTTTAAAAGCAGCAGGGTATGATTTGAAAAGCCTGTTAAATACTATTGTACCAGCGAAGGGTAAAGCAACAATTCCAACTGGTATAAAATTGGAATTACCTAAAAATTGCTATGGTAGAATAGCACCAAGGTCTGGTTTGGCTGTTAACCATTTTATTGATGTGGGAGGTAAAAATCTATATCTATATCATTAAAAGTAATTTTAATTACATATATTTTTTTCTTTTTATAGCAGGAGTTATTGGTGTATTGTGGTGATTTAGTGTTTTTATTTTGCTGAGGAGTTATTGACGAAGATTACAGAGGAGAGATTAAAGTAGTTTTATTCAACCATTCAGATGAAGATTTTCATGTTCAAATTGGAGACAGAATAGCACAAATTATCTGTGAACGAATATTCTACCCGCTACTACAGGAAGAAAAATCCATTTCGAACACAGAACGTGGTGAAAAGGGATTTGGTTCTACGGGGAAATAAAATTAATGTGAAAACAAAAATGCCTTAATACATAATTTCATATCTCTATCTTTCTCCCTCCCCATTTTCTTACTATATAAGTAAAAAGATCATCAATCTGTTTTTACTATTATTAATGTATACAAACACCATGGTATTTTTACAAATATTACAGAAATTGAAGCAAAAACAAAGATTACAGAAGAGTACTTAAACAGAAGACCTTTACTTAAGTATGAATATAAAAGATTAGTTGCAGTGTGTAATGATCCTCAGGAAATGACATGTAATGATTTAAAAAGACTTGCAGAAAAATCAAAGGTACCAAAAGCTGTTAAACAAGTCGTCAGAGAAAAATGGATCTACGACACTTATACGACAAGCATTTATACGACGAAACATATCTAATCGATAATATAAATATAAATGTAAAATTTAAAAAAACAATAAAACATATTTTTGTTCAACTATTTCTTGTTTTACTGTATGTTCAACCATTTCTTGTTTTACTATACTTTATATTAAAATTAGGATAAGTTAGTCAATAATTTAGGTTGATATCATTTAATACGTTTAAATAAGTAAAACATTTTCATCAACACCAACTATTTTGTAAACAGCTTGCTAAAATTAAACACTGTTATCTTAACATTTAACCCTACAGACGTAAATACACTTATCGACACCTTTAACCCCTAATTAAATACTCAATTAACAATCAATTTATAATAATAATATTGTTTACCAAACATATACCGATCAATATGTTTCTATACATAAAAAACACTACCCCAAACCAACCCCTAAACTACCCCAATTATGATCCTTTAGTCATGGGGAGTAAATAAGGCCCTTTTCTACAGCCTCTGGTATTGACATTCACCTTTTTTACATTTTTGTAATTAATACCTATACTGTAACAGGTAAATACACTTCCTTCAGGCAGGTAATCTACAAGAACTCCTGAAAGTCACTGAAACGCCTGAAAATTTCAGGAAGTCGATGGAACCTGTCACAGTATAGGGGTACGATAACTACTACTACGTTGGAAAACTGGTTCTAATAAATGACATCAACTCACCTCCGATGTCATGGAAGTTGGGTCGGGTCACAAAGCTACATCCAGGCAGCGATGGAGTGGTGCGCGTTGTAGACATAAAGACCGCAAATGGGCAGCTTCGACGAGCTTTATCGCAAGTTTGTGTGTTACCATTAGACTGACCATGTAGCCGTTAACTGTTGAAAGCGGAGACTTTCAAGGCGGGCGGTTTATGTTAAGGATATGACATAATCATATATAAGAAGTGGCAACCGCGCGAAGAAGTGGCAACGCGGGTGACCCTGTGCCGGTTGACAGAAGAAAAAGACAGACTGAAATAAGACATTGCAATATTATAATTACACAATCACGATTCCATTTTTATAATTTTCTTTCAATACAGTAATTCAAAATTTAATGTGTCAGTGTTATTCAACCTAGCCGCCGCTGGTAAGGGCAAGTAACACTCGGAACCAAAGCTATCGAAGGCGCTAACAATACATTATACTAACGTAACGGCATAACAAAACGAACTATTTGTAGTTCGTTTTGTTATGCCGTTACGTTAGTATAGTGTGTGTTGTTTTATATATGTCGCACCCACTTAATGTAATTGTCCGTTTCATGAAACGGATATCCACTTCGCGAACTGAAACTAACCAGTTCGCGAACCTAACCTAACCTAACCTAACCAGTTCGCGAAGTGGATATCCATTTCATGAAACGGACAATTACACTAAGTGGATGCGACATATACATATATTTGTTATGCTGTTATACAACTAGGCAGTTACCAAACATCAATATTTGTGTTTGTCATTTTAATATTGTAATGATATGGATCATTTTAATTAATCTTAAGGTCTGATGATTTTAATTAATCTTAAGGAAACCGGTAACCGACAATAAATTTTAATGGTTTTTTGACTTTGTTCATTCATGTTTCCATTCTTTATTGAAGATGAACCACTTTGAGAATTTGAACTATTTTATTTTCGTACTACTTTCTTCTTTCAAAAAATTCAATACAAATTTTCGGAACGCCACTGGTAGAAATACCAACTTCAAAATCACCCTGTATAAATAAAGCTAATCAGTACAACAAATATATGTTAAACAAACATATTTATTAACAAAATACGCTACCTACACTAATTATTATTATTGAAAAGTGTTTCAGTAATCAATTCTCTTTTTTGCTGACCCAAACGACGAATTATATTAACATTATTATGGTGTAATTCATTCGGAACATAGAATTCTCCATTTAGGTCTTCCGGAAAAAGAAAATCGTCATCCTTTAAATACTTTGCAATATTGTGCAAGACAACACAAAAGATGACAATTGGGGCAATTTTCTCAAGTTTACTACGAACTTTATAGTGCAAAATAGGAAATCTAGTTTCTAATTGTCCGAAGCACCTTTCAATTATGACACGTTCTTGACAAAAACATATTAGTATAAGGGTGTCACAAGCCAGCTATGGAATAACCGTCGTCTCCAATAACAAACAGTCTTCCCCAGCGTTCTTTAAACAGTCATAAATATTGCAGTTTTTAAAAATTCTGCTATCATGAACGGATGCTGGCCACTGACAGTCTATACTTGTAAACATTTCATGTACGTTGCATATTGCTTGAACATTCAAACTGGGAAATCCCTTCCTATTGACATATTCATCACCGAATTCGCCAAACTTCGGGATTCTTATATGGGTACAGCCAATAACCCCAATAGCATTAGGAAATTGACATTTTTGAGACCATTAATTTTTGGCCTCAATAAGTTCGGCACAATTTTTGGGAAATTTTATCCATATGTTTACCTTACTTACAATTTTATTCAACGTATGTATATGTTTTGGAGACACTAGTTTGATGAACACCAACTTCTTCACCAACGGTATTTTGAAAACTTGGGTCCGCCACGACTTATGTATAATATTCGATAATCTTCTTCTACACATTTCGATAATCTTACATTTTCGATAATCTTCTTCTACACATTCCTTACGTACTTTGTAGAGTTTTATTTTATGATCAAAACCTCTGCCATTTTACGATGGAAATCGGACAAATGTCACAAAAAAACTAATTCAAGCAAATGAAAGGATGGTATACTCCACGCTTGAAATTTTACCAGCAATTGCTTGTGTAGCAAAAGCAATTCCCAGCTTTATTCATATTTTATTAAAGAAATACTAAACATTTCTAAGCAAAACCTTTTGCTTTCAGCTTTTCCTTTGACTTGAAGCAATTACTACAAGGTCAAGTTATTGCTTAACATTTTATTCATTTCCCAAGCATTTGCTAAGATTTTTCAAGAAAAAGCAATTGCTACATTTTTATTCATCAGACCCATTTAGTGAATTCGGAATTTATGTAAACGAATATCAGATTACTGGCAAAAATGTAAACGCACTATCCTTATACAATAACTCACTCTATTGAACCGAGCCCCTATATTTCTCGCCCGTAATAAAGCCTGCTGTATCTAAGCAAAAAGACCGTGAATATCATATTACACATAGATTGCAACTTACTATGGTAGATGGTAAGGTGTGTAATGCGCTTAGCAGCGTTTCTTCGTCTAAATGTCATATACAGGGTGGCCCAAACGTTCCGCAAGGCATAACGGCCAGGGTATTATTTTTTTCAAAAAATCCAAAAACACGTCAATTTTGTTTGTGATGGGGACAACATTTGCCCCAAAAATGATTGTAAAATCTTTAACCCTCTGAGCGGGGGAGTCATCCCCCACCATTTTTCAAATGGGAAGGGGGGTCAAATGGCGCCACCATGAAAAGAGCTTTCTATTCTCTATATTTCCCCGCCTCGTTTTTGAAAATCGGTCGAGTCATTGAGGAAATATAAAGGATTGAAATTTGAAAAGTTTATTTAAACATTTATCAGAGTAAATGATAATGATAAATTCCTTCGACCAATTTGTTTGGTTTTTTCTTGTTATTTCTAGATGTTTATGCATTTTTTCACTTGCCACAATGTAGCGTTTTTTAAACAACTACCACTGCGAACGGCAGCTTTTCATCGGAGAGCAGTCGTGGATAAGGTATTTCACTAGAGAGAAAATTAATCAGTAATAATTAACAAAAGATATATAGATATTGGGCGCCAGGCATGTACAGAGAAAGAAAACACAGTTGTATAATACTTAAAACTAATGACTATATTTATTCATGACGTTCTTTGCTGATACATGACATTGTAGAGTTCTAGTAAATATATAGTGGTTATATGTCGAAAGAAAGTGGTGGTAAGAGTCGTACTAAATATCAATGAAAACAACTACGATAAAATACAGGACATGTAAAGTTTAAGAGAAAATATGAAATGTAGCATTACTTTAATTAATTTGATATATTCCATATGATGCTAAATCGAAGATGTTACAACCTGTAGATTCTAGAATCTATATTTGATTATCCATCTATTAAAATAGTGCAATAATATCTATAAAAGTAATACCATTACAAGACGTAATGCAATGAAACTTAAGATCTAAATTATATTTTAAAGATTATATCGACATGAATGTTCTTAACAATCTAACCACTGAACATAGTCTGTACGATATTACTTAAGATGTACGTTATTATTTAAGACTGAAAATATAGAAAATCTAAAACATAAAACCTAGAACGTAAATCAGCTGTTGTTCTTTATGTAATCTTGCTTCAAACAGTAGCAGCGTGAGGTGGTCTCGCATCTCTGTACTGTCTGTCGGCGATCCTGTTGGTCAAAACAACAAAAGGGGCCAGATTGAGGACACCATGAATCCTTACAGCCGTAGCTACTGACTAGGCTTAGAAATGGGAGTGAAGCAGCATGGGACTCAAGCTACATCCACGCTGTGGCACTTAGATGTAAGAAAAAGTCGTTCTTACTGGGGACACTCGTCCACATGACATCTGTACATAAGATAATGTCTGTACATCATAAGGCACTACCCGTACCTTGGACACAGTCCGTACCTTGGAAATAGTCCGTACCTTGGAAATAGTCCGTACCTTGGACTCTAAAAATATGAAACTCTTGTTTAAAACCAAACAAGGTCTAATAAACAAAATAAACCTACCTCGAAATACTTCCGAGGGCTCAATAAATAATAAACAACATGTCCTTTCTTCCATGTGACATTCTGGAGGACAAAAGAAAAGGGACGCCAACGTGCCAGCAAAACACAAATACAAGTTGGGACATCCGTAACTCTACCCTAAAAATATTCAATAATAATATCGAATCTATAAAAGGTAATAAGTCATCTTTACCTGTAGCCTCGAAATAGCAGCTGATTCAAATTATACAGCAAGACTTAAATAAACACCGTTTCCAAAAGCTGGGATACAAC